AAAAATTTAGCTAAACGTTTGAACGTGTTAAAAGGACTTAACTTCAAAACAGGCGCGCGAAGTAGCGAAGCAACATGAGTTAATAAAGTTGATATAAACTTAAAGTGTAATAAAAAAATGTTGGCGCTTCATGCGTCTTGAAATCTTTGTTTGTTCCTCTTTGTCTCGGGGTGTATTTTATTCTTGGTCGGATGGAGTCCAGACATTAAAGGATATTTTTCAGCTGTTGTTTTATTTCTTTTATTTTTTATTTTTATGGGTCAAACAATAAATGTCACACAATAAAGGTTCGATGTTCTTTTATTATCAACTGCGTGATCTAATAAATTGGAATAAAAGAAAAACACTTCAAACCCCCGAAAAAATTTTTGAAAAATTGAAAAATCACACCCAAAAAACACAAAATTAGAGGTCACGTGACTTGTCACGTGACTGATTAACATAATGTTGATTTTCCCCTAAAACAAGCCTTTTTTCGAGTTTTTATTATCCACGGAGTGCTAGRATGAGCTTTTCTAGTGATTTTTCATGTTTTGGGCAAAARAAATTGCTYRAAAACCGTCTAATTTTCGCCAAAAAATCAAATTTTTGGCGGGCTTCCTGTGTAAAGTGCTAGTATCCAGGCTCTTGGTGTCACTTGTGTTCATTTCAATCTTGTTCCCTTCGCGGTTCGACGTGTGTCAATCTGTGGAAATATAAAGAGGAGCTTTTGCAAGAACAAAAAAAAAATTATTTGCTCGTGCTTCACCTAACAGAGAGATAAGGACACGAGAACTATGAAAGGTAAGAATTATTGTGTTTTTCTGCGTTATTCTGGCGTTTTTCCGTACTTTTAACCAGTTTAAAGATTTCGAAAGTTCGATTGACCGCCATGACACGTGTTGACTTTGAACTCTGAGATTCCACTTTTTCTGAGAAAAAAGCAATTAAATTTAACATAAATGTGTAATATTGGGAAATTTTGAAACAGTGTGTAAGCTTAGTTTGAGCATATTTTCATTTTTTTTACATATTTTGAATCTTTGGTTTTCATCGTTACACGAAACTTGGTTTTTGAAACTTTAAAACCTCCCCTCCCTCGTTAGAACCATGAAAATCCTAAATATTAATGTCCTAATGATTTATCTTTCTTTGTATTGCAGTCTTAAAAGTATAACTTACACGTGAAACACTCCATAAAACTGTCCAGTGATCTGTAACAAGATGGCGTCTGGTACTGACATCTGAACCTCATTACCATACTGCATCTCGACTCTAACCGACATAATGGAATACTTCAGTATTAATCTGGTAATGATGGGTATAATGCAYKAAAACAAGAAGCAAAAACGCTTGATAACAATATGGACTCGCCTTGTTGAGCATTGACCTGAGTATCAACCTGGGGGTGAGACCCTGTGACCTTCAAAAAAATATGGACTCRCCTTAATTCTGTATAAGTATTGATCTGAATATCAACTTGTTGACTCAGCAAACTTCATAACCTTGTTGCTGTATGGGTGTTGACCTGAATATCAACCTGATGACCCTGTGACCTTCATAACAATATGGACTCACCTTGTTGCCATAGAAGTGTTGTTCATATCCCAAGCAGCAGTTTTTTACTAATCATCAGGTATGTATATTACTCTGCAGAACAATTTCATACATAAGTTAGTTATACAATGCTTTGTTGTGGCACTCTATGGGCTTTTGTATCTCAAAACCAACATGGTAGATGTCAGACAACCACAGGGTTCCCACTGTACAACATGGTCTACTGCTGACCAGTACACTGACAGCTAAAGGATAGACATGGATTATCCAGAATAGAACATTTCTAGAATGAAGTCACAACTAGTAACTGCTAGCAATACAATT